GGTTGTACTGGCGGGGAGGGCGCTACGGCAAAGCCTGCAGCGAAGTGAAGAGGGTAGATTGCCAACTGATGCAAGAGGTCCCACAGGCTCTACATGGAAATTGCAGGTTTCGATAGAAAAAAGTACGTGTGGGGGTAGGGGTTTAGGTTGTACGCCTGGGGGTAGGCCGTCGGGCCCTGCGCCAGGGCGCAGCCACGAGCTAGGAATGCCAGGGGAGCCGAGCAGCAGCAGGAGACGGTAATAACGGGGGGCCGCGACTGCTACAGCCACCCCGGGCCAGGAGCCATGGACAAGTTTCTTGATGCGGTAACGGGCTGCTGCCCGCAGCAGCGAGTCCTGGGCCCTACCCGAGGAAAGGCTGGTGTTGAGCGCAGGGCTTGGTGGAAAGGGTAAGTGGTGCTGAGCTGCTCTGCAAGAGTGACCACAAACAGTTGGCTTTGCCGTCCTTGGAGGAGGAGAGGGGAGGAGGACAATCTACCAGAGCAGCCTTCAGCTTCAACAAGGGAGGGAGACGGCGCCAAAAGGAGGCAGCAAGCACGGACCCGCTTGACAACAGCGTCCTGGAGCCCAGAGCCATGCGTGCTGCCAGGAGAGCGGGCCAACACCGCCAGTGCGGCGCAGGGCAGAGCTGCGGAGGCAGCAGCAGAGAAAAGGCCTCTGGCAAAAAGTGGAAAGCAAAACCTAGTGAGGAAAATAACTAGTATTCAACCCATCACTGAACAGCCTTGGCGCCAGAGGACTGGAAGGGCCGATGCGAGTCGCAGAGTTACGAAGGGCCCTAGAAGGGACGCGGGGACCTCCAGACAAACGAGCCTAACTTCTGCTCCTAGAAAACCGGCACAAACTACAATAAAAATTGTCCAGCACCTGGATGAACGTGACTTGCTAGGGAGGAATCGCCGTGGTTGTGTCCAGGGTAAATCACTGGAGGTCTTGGAGCGGGGAGCAGGGGACCCAGCTGGCCGTATAGCTGGACTCCCAAAAGGCTTTGGACAAGCTCCCCCTTCCGAGGCTCTTACTGAAGTTAGGTAGTGACGGGATCGCAGGGAAGATACGGCAGTGGACTGGAAACTGGCTTCAAGATGGAAACCCACGAGCGAGTCTAAAGGGTCAGTCTTGGGGCTGGGAAGAAGTGACCAGCGGAGTCCCCCCGGGATCTGTGCTGGGACCGGGGCTGTTAGACACACTCGCAAACGATCTGGAAATGGGGGGAGGAGTGAGGAGGCTAGATTTGTGGAGGACACAAAATTAGTCAAAGTGGTAAAGACCCAGGGGGACTGCGAGGAGCTGCAGAAAGATCTGGCAGGACTGAGCAGATGGGCACCGGGCTGGCAGATGAACTTCAGTGCGGATTAGTGTAAAGTGCTGCACTGGGCAAAAATGGCCCGGACTAGCCGTGCACTTCGAGGAGCTCTTCTCGAGCTGTTACCACGCAGGAAAGAGAGCTGGGAGTCGCTGTGGGCAGTTCGCTAAAAATAGCAGCTCCGGGCTCAAAACCCGTCCAAAAGGCGCACCAAACATTAAGGATGACGAAGAGGGGAATTGTGAAGAAAATGGAGAGTGTCATAATGCCCTTTTATAAAGCCCCGGTGCGTCCACACCGTGAATACTGCGCCCAGCCCCGGTCCCTGCCCCTCAGCCAGGGTCGAGATGCCCTGGAGAAGGGCCAGAGAAGGGCGGCGAGGAGGAGGAGGGGTGTCCACGGGGGAGGCAGGAGAGGAGGCTGGAGCGGGGCGGGAGGCGAAGATACGCCGCCAGGCGGGGCGGCGGGGCGCGGGCACG